AGCGGGTGTAGAGCAGGTGCCGAGTGGGTACGCCAGGACAGAAAGGACAGTCTGTGTGCCAGTGGCATCATCCCCACAAAGCAGCTGACCTAGAGAGCTGCTTCAGCAGGCCCATCAGCAGAGCAGTGGGCTGGCAGGTGCAGAGCAGGCGCACTAGGACTGGAAAGATAACCGGAGGTCCAATAGCCAGTCAAGTACTGTGTTTCCCCAAAAATAAGGGTCTTAATTTTTGCTCCAAAAAAACACATTAGGGCTTATTTTCAGGGGATGTTTTTTTCATGTACAATGATCAACATTTATACAAATACAGTCATGTCATCTTCTTCTGGTTGCTGCACAATGGTGGACGGCAGGGTTTCATTTAACTGGGGCTTATTGGGGGGGTAGGGCTTATATTACGAAGATCCTAAAAAATCATACTAGGGCTTATTTTCAGGTTAAGTCTTATTTTGGGGGAAACAGGATAGTGCTAGGGGATTCCCCCTGCTGTAATTGATGGCGCCAGACTGCTAGTGGGGGGTTTCAACAGTGCCCCCCACTCCACCCCAAGAGAATCAGCAGTTAGTGGAGTAGTGCAGGGGCTGAAGCTCCAGCATTGGCTCCCTTCCTGCTAAATTTGCTAGAAGCTTTCTCCCCTCTTTCCATTTTTCCATCATTAATTGGCTGAGGTCACTTCTCCAATTGTTTCCCCTGCAGTTTCTAGCAACTATTATGACACCAGGGGGTGCCTTGTAGACACTTCGTTTGTGCTCCTGGGATTTGTGTCTCCTCATGTGTGAATGATGTCTTTATGTCAATTTAACTGTTTAATCTGAACAAATTGACGGTTCATTGCCTGCAGCTAAAAAAAGTATTTAGCTCTTTTTGGCTTCTGATAGTATCACATGTGACTTACAAGTTCTTCCCTTCACCATGATGATTTCTGTCATCTTCATCCAATTCACCAGAAGGCTCTTTACCTCATATGGAATATCAGCTGTTCTCTAAATCAAAAAGCAGTTTCTTTAGCTGAATCAACTATGTGGCACTGTTTAGTTAACAAAGGTTTTGGGGTAACGAAACAGAATTAGAGACAGAGAAACATATTAGTCACTGTATTTTTGTCACATTTTCTGTTTGTTCTAAGAACATTCCCCACCCCCACCCCACTTGCTCCATCATTTACAAAGATCTTGAAGTAGCAGAGGCCTTGTTTATTTCTTTGGTTAATGCCTACTACCTACAGCATTTGAAACTGATATATGTTCAAAGAACACCACATACATTATCTTTCAGTATATCAGGCCAAAAACAAAAGCAAAATAAAAAAGAAACTTTAAGAAACGTTCTGGCATCTTAAAGACTAATTGCTATATTTAATGTGAGATTTTATGGACAAGTCCACTTCCTCAGACATAAGAGAGGGACTATATATCAAATATTTATAGATTTATACATGGCCCCAAAACAAAGAGACTGTTCTCTGAGCACAAATTGTTGATCTACACCTGGCAATAAACTTCAAGACCTTTGTTGATATTCAGTTCCCCTTCCCAGGAAGCATTGTTCTGTAAACAATGGCAATAATAGGTGGCTAAATTAATCCAAGGCTTTAAGTAACAAGCAGGAACAATATGGTAATGATGAGTATCTCTAATCACCAATGGGCTTGTAAGGTGTCTTTGGTTAGTTAGGAAGGGAATATAGCAGGGAAATGCAGCAGATGCAATGCAATTATTGCAATTATTTACATTTCATAATGGCTGAAGAAACCTTGGCTAATATTCAGTCAGTTGATATGGGTTTTAAATGTATATATATATTTTATCTCAGCTGTCCCTCTCTGGATTCTTGTCCTGTGATTTTAATTCTCCAGAATGGCAACTCTCAGATCTTGTGCAGAGTGTCCAGATAAATTAAAATGATTTGAAACAGCCTTCTGTGTATTTCCATCGCTGGTCTCCAATTTGTGTTCATTAATTCTTTTGAACATAGATTGTCTTGTTTGTCTTATGTAGCATGTGGAGGAGTATTGTTGGAAAAAGATGGCATAGACAATATTGGCAGAGGAACAGGTAAAAATACTCTTATGTCTGAGAAAGTGGACTTGCCCACAAAAGCTCACATTAATATATAACAGTTAGTTTTTATGATGGCACAATGTTTTTGTCTTCTTTATTTTTCATTTGTTTTTTGCCTGATATACTAAGATGGTTACTTCTTCTAAAACTATCTTTCAGTAGTTACAACAGCCCTGTAAGGTAGGCTAATATTATTATAATTATCTTCCATATTTTGTAAGAAAGGAGAAGGAAGACCATTGGACTCACAGCACAGCTGAGATTAAAAACAGGGATCTTCTATTTGTAATCTAATAGGGCTCTTCTACATAGACTAGACAGACTAGATGTAGACAAGGCCCAGGATCTCTGTGTTGGGCTTTTCCCAAGTTCATACCTGGAGATGACAGTGGACGAGATAGTTGGACAGTGTCACTGAAGCTACCAACATGAATTTGACCCAACTTCGGGAGGCAGTGGAAGACAGGAGGGCCTTGCAGGTTCTGGTCCATGGGGTCACAAAGAGTCGGACACGACTAAACGACTAAACAACAACAACCTGGAGATCTACTTTTCTTCCACTCTTTCAGTGAAAAAGCTCCTTTGGACCCTAATGCCCAAACAAGAACTTTTATAGCTTAATGGTTGCAACAGATTAAACCCACCAAGAAACTGTCACTGCTTTAAGATCTCTCTGTTCTCCTTTTTTTCTTTCTGCAAGCTTGCTGCACCAGAGGCAACCCTTCTCCAGCAGGTGGAAGCATACTCCAAACCTTCCCGTTGTAGCCCCTGGACCGATTGCCAGAGCAGCAGGATGGGAGTTTGATAATATTATTCTTGCTCTTGTTTTATTTTATGAACGTGTTTACTGCTCTCCATCAACTGCTCCCAAGGTGGTTTCCCCAGCCATTCTGTGCTACTGAGATGGCTGTGCAATCCTTCTGTCTTCTCCATTTCCAACAGCCTGCTATTGCAAAGCATCTGGCAAAAACGCTCTTCAAAGGCAACTCTCCTGATTCCTGTTATTTTAGCCCTGGGTTCTGAAGGCATAACACTTCTGTTCCCCCCCTTCCCCTCCAAACCTTGAGCAACTCTAGCTGTGTCTGTATCTCTGCTTCCACCAGCCTTTCTCGAATACTCCTCCCTCCATTTTCTTTCCTCTCTTTCTTCCACTGTGGTTACATCAACATCTAACTCCAAAACTGTCCTGCCTCCCTCAGCCCAAACAAGCACCATTGATGGATTTTACCTCCTCCCTTTAGTTCTTTACCATTTATATTTCTGCTCTGTCTCTCCACCATAAAACTCTAGCATGGTACATGGTTATTATCTCTCATCCATTCTGCCCTCACAACACCCCTGTGAGGAAGCGTAGGCTGAGAGTGACCAAGAACACTCGAGGAGGTTCATGCCTGACTGCAGAGTTGAACTCAGATCTGTCCAGTTGCAGTTCAACAGTTTAGTTTCCTCTCTTCTCCTTCCTCAATATGGATCCATTTCTTTCTTTCTTTCTTTCTTTCTTTCTTTCTTTCTTTCTTTCTTTCTTTCTTTCTTTCTTTCTTGGGGGACGTGGTGGCGCTGTGGGGAGATGTGGTGGCGCTGCGGGCTAAACTGCAGAAGCCTTTGTGTGCTGCAGGGTCAAAAGACCAGCAGTCGTAAGATCGAATCCATGCGACGGAGTGAGCTCCTGTTGCTTTGTCCCAGCTCCTCGCCAACCTAGTGGTTCGAAAGCATGTAAAATGCGAGTAGATAAATAGGTACCATCTCAGTGGGAAGGTAAACAGCGTTCCATGTCTAGTCGCGCTGGCCATGTGACCACGGAAACTCTCTTTGGACAAACGCTGGCTCTATGGCTTGGAAATGGGGATGAGCACTGCCCCGTAGAGTCGGACACAACTGACTAAAATGTCAAGGGGAACCTTAACCTTTACCTTCTTTCTTTCTTTCTTTCTTTCTTTCTTTCTTTCTTTCTTTCTTTCTTTCTTTCTTTCTTTCTTTTTCTTTCTTTCTTTCTTTCTTTCGCATTAAGCTTTCAGTCTTTATTCCCCATCCGGACAAATGGAACTCCATCACCATAAAGAAGTCAGTGCGGAAGCAGAGCCCAACTACAAGCTCTCTGCTTTGTACTCACTTCAGGATAAAGATTAAGATTCAACTTTCCCAATAGCAAAGGCAGGCATGTTTGCAAGACTCTTGTGACTCTCTGAGGCAAGATGATCCTTTTGTCAGATGGATCTTTGGCCTCTTTCTGTCAACCATTTCTTCCTTTGCAAAGAAGGAATGGCTCTACCTTATATAAGTGTGAGATGAGGTAAGGATTTGGCTGCCTTTTGATCTTGAAAGCAGGTGTTCATTTCTCACAGAGCTCTCCAGTTTGTCCAGTGCCCCCCCCCCACAACCCAAAGAAGCCCTTGCCAGATGATATTCCAAGTGCAGAGCTTGGCGAAATTGCCTTTTTGGACTACAGCTCCCAGGCTTCCAGCTGGCTAGGGTGTGTTCCAGGAGCTGTAGCCTGAAACAGTAATATTTCTAATCTGTGTCCAGGTGTCCGTAGGCATAAATTGTTCAGGAACAGGAAAGAAAGAGAGAAACCTAAAAGGTCCCTGCCCCTTACTACAAATTTGGAAAGCGCCATCCTCCTGTGTCTATCTTTGCCGTAGAGAAGCTAGAGAAGCCGAGTCACCCCAGGCATACGCTCTCCGCCTCTCAGCTTGGTTCAAGGAATGTGACATATCAGACAGCAGCTGCTACTACTTGGGAGGAGGAGGAGGAGGAGGAAAAACTGCACAGGGGTTGGAGACTCATTTATCCTGGGCTCCAGAAAGTTGGGGAAAGAGGATTATGTGGCATGAGAAATCCAGATTCTCTTTAGAAATAGCAAAGATTTTTGGAGCTGTAGGTTTGGGGACTCGGTGATGAGCAAGGCGGGAGGGCCCAGCCCTTTTGCAAATAGCCTGGCTCCCCGCCTTGATGGGCTGGGAGGGGCTGCCTGCAACCTGAGACCAGCCTAAAAATAACCCCCTTGCCTGGCAGAGAAATGACCTTCTGGGAGCTTGTCCGGCTTGGGTGGGCAGGTACCTGGAGCCACGTCAGTGCCCCCTGGCAGGTACCCAGCAGCTGGAGGGGTCACAGCGACAGAGAAAGAGAGGGTGAACATCTAGCGGGGAGACGGCGGCTGGGGGGCTCAGCTGGGCCTCGGCTGGCTGGTGGGATCAGAGAGTCCTAGGAGAGGGGCTGTGATGGACTAGAACTGCAACTAAAGGCTGTACTAGAAGTACGTTAAGAATCGTCAGGTCCCTGAGCCATGCAGAAGTCCCAGGGACAGAACACCCACAGCTGGGCCACCGAAGAGGCTGGAGGAACAGGAGGACGGGGGCCGGCGAGAGCCCCCCCAAGCCCGGCCATCCCTCCCAAGAGAGCCAAGGTCACAGCCGAGCAGGGAGGCCCAGCAGCCCCAGTCTTTCTGCAGGAGCTGCAAGAGACATCTGTCAGCATCGGCCAGGACATCCTGCTGAGGGTGGCCGTGACCGGCAACCCCCAGCCCCACCTGAGCTGGTACAAGGAGAAGGTCCTGGTTTCCCCCACCCAGGAGAAGAGCAAGGAGGAGGGGAAGGCAGAGAACGAGGAGGAGTATGGCTGCCTCCAGATCCGCAACAGCAAGGCAGGCGATGCAGGGACCTACAGGTGTGTGGCCAAGAACAAGCACGGAGAGGCGACCAGCAGTGCCACCGTGACAATCGCAGACATGGCAGGTACGGATCACGTGGGGAGCAAGGGCTGGGCAGCGGGCAGTGAGCAAGCCATCGACACATGCTGGGGCTCGGCTGGGTTAGCACAGTTTCTGGACCTGGAATTTGCAACTAGGCTCCAGAGAGGAACAGGATCGGCAGTTCTTCCCAGATATGGGTGCCGTAGGGGTTTGGATCTGAAAGCCAAGGTTCTGCTCTGGATGGAGGCCTTTTTTGTAGGGCTAGGATGGAGCCCTGGAAATGGAAGACGGATAACAGAATGCCTTTGACCATGTGCAGAGTTTATTTCTCTGACCAGTGAATAAACATCACCTGTTTTTAATACCTCTAGGGTTAGAGGATGAGAGTCCTGAGTCATAGATTATTGGTTCCCTGGCTGGGCTTGAGCCCCTGTAGCTCTTCCCTTTTAGACACTAATCACTGGCATGAAAGAGCTCTTTGCCATGGATAAAGGCACAGCGGACGAGCCAGGGAGGTTTCAGCAGCAGACTGTTTGAAGACCTGAGGTCAAGCAAAGATGCGGTCCCTGAAAGGAGTGCTTTTATGTTGAGGTTATGGCAGAAAACAAATGGTAAAACCTAAGTATCCATCAGCACTGCGGCCTAATCTGGAAACTGTGCTCTCACTCCTCCTATTTTCTAATCCCTAGGGTGTCATTTAACACCAAAAAAAAAAGTGCCTCAAAACATATGCAGACTGACATGCCATTATACTGAATCACTACAGCTTTTTATCTTCTCGGATAGCTAGGACGAGGGCAAAGGGCTTCCAAGCAGATTTATACCCAGGGCCAGGGCTGAATTCTGAAATTAGGCATTGCTCTTGTGCGTCCTCTAAGAAAATGCAGCAGAAGGGTTAACTGTGCAGTATAAAATAGCACTGAAAACAATGCTTTGCTGCAACAGGAACCCAACAGATCTGAAGGGTGCTAGCCAGGCAGGCACATCCTATCCACTTTCGGCATGAGCACAGCCATATGTTATAGTTGAAAGCAGAGTCTTTTCAGGAAATTTGAACACCTCACACAGCCACGTAGGTTGCCTTTTGCACCATCGGCTTAATCATTCTCCCTTCCTTCATCCTGCAGACTCAATATGATTGCAGATTCTTCAGCTTTCTGTTGAACACAAGATGGTGGCTGCCCCTAAACAACAGCTCATCAGTAAGATGGAAACAGGCCATAGGTTAGGATCGTCTAATGTCCTCGTATAGCTTAGACACCCCATTTTTATGCCTTTCTGCTCAGCTGCAGAGCTAAAATTGAGTCACTAGGTTCAAACGAAGAGAGGTCTCCTGTTCCTTCAAGAGATAAATGGAAGGAAATATACCATCAGATGTAGCTCACTCTCTTCTTTGGCTTCCGGTCAAAAGAAACCATTTGTGATGAGACAATCCTGTTTTCCAAACAGAAAAATATTTTCAAATTCGAAACCCTCAGTTATGTTTTGTTGGAGAGGCCACTGCCATCATTGCAAGCTTGGTCTGCCTCATTTTCCCCCCAGGGAAAAGAAAACAACCCACATGTTGAATATGGAATTTGGTGTCACCTCCAGTTTGCGGTGTGTTTTTTAGCATAACCCAGTCAACCAGAGACTGTCATAGTGGCTCTTACTGTTTAGGAATGACACACATAACTCTTTTAGCAAAGACGTGAAGTATTGCAAGCTGGGAAGATACAAATAGATCTGAGGGGTGGACAACTGCAAGCCATTCCTAATCAGAGTTTTTTGGGGGGCTATTTCAATGGGACCCTTGCAAATCTACTCCCTGAGCCACACAAAGTGTTTCCAGAGGAGCCTGTGAGGCAGCTGAGTGGTTCTCAACTTCTGGTTGTCTTATTCTGAAACTGCCTCTGCTGGGAGGCCAAAAATTGAGAACCACCAATCTACTCTGTCTGAGGAAGTGGACTAGTCCACTTCCTGCTCACATCAAAATATAGCAGATTGTCTTTAAGGTGCCACAATGTTTATGTCTTCTTTCTTCCTTTCTAAATTTCTTTTCTTTTGGTCTGATATACCATTCTATCCTGTCCTCCAAATATCTCTGAGAGTTTAGAACACATAAACTTCATATATATACACCCTCAATCTGTATCATTAGGACTTGTGAAAGCTGAGCGGGAGGAGAAATCTGTTCTTTCTAGCCTTTCTGGGAGAGAGCTGAGAAGACTGGCATCAGCCCCCAGCACCTGTCACGGCCCAAATACCCTAGCACGACTCAGAGGGACTGCTACCCATACCTCTTCTGCCCTCCCATCCATCTAACCTGGATTTTTCAGGGCAGTAGCAACACAATCTGAGAAGTAGCTGGCCATATGAACTGGAGCATCTCACTTGAAGGCACTGTAGAAAGTTTAAAGTTTCAGACAGCTTCTCAAACCCAAAAAGTCCTCCTGCCCAGTAGTCCATAGATGACCAGCAAATAACTACACAATAATAGCCACTTTACCATGGGGAACACGTACCCTGTTTCCCTGAAAATAAGATCTAACCTGAAAATAAGCCCTAATATGATTTTTCAGGATGGTCGTAATATAAGCCCTACCCCCAAAATAAGCCCCAGTTGAGTGAAACCCTGGCCTCCACCATCGTGCAGCAACCCGAAGA